TCTCCTTATCATTGGCACTAATTTGTAGATCTTTCGGTCTACTCATTGATGAAAATCGGTTTTCATCAAAAATTGCATCTCTTGACTCTATAACTGAATGAACAGATATATAGTCATTTTGTTCTATTACATATAACCTATAGGTTTTGCTATGCTCAGCATACCCTATAAATATGCAATCCAAGCCCCTTTCACCGAGCTTTCTTTTCTTATTGCCGAGCACTCTTACGATTGCCCTACTACCCCAAACCTTGAGATATTTCAAGTTTGGCTTTCTTTTGTACCAAAGTTCATAAGGAGTAGATTCTTTTTCCTTTGTGGGAACCCGGTTAAGAATGTGACATGCTGTCAACATTGCTTCACCCCAGAGCCCTTCACTCAAACTAGAGTAAGAAAGCATGGAATTAACCATCTCTTCAAGGGTTCTATTTTTCCTCTTAGCTACACCATTTGATTGTGGTGCATAGCCAGCTGTTGTCTCATGAATTATACCCAACGATTGGAAATAACTTGGATCATAGTATTCCCCTCCCTTATCAGTCTAATTCTCTTAATAAATGAATCTACTTGCAATTCTACTTCCCTTTTATAAATATCAAACTTGGTTAAAGCTTCATCTTTGGAATGCAAAAGATACACGTAACAAAACCTAGAATAATCATCTATAAAAGTGCCCATGTATCTTTTGTTCCCCAAAGAAGGCGTACTATGAAAATCACACAAGTCACTATGGATTAGTTCTAAAATGTTAGAACTTCTCTCAACTCTCTTAAATGGAGTTTTAGTGATCTTGTTCAACATGCAAGTAGAACACTTATTAGGAGAAATATCACAACATGGAATCAATTCTTGTTTGGACATGAAAAGCATTTTATTATAATTAACATGTCCTAATCTAGAATGCCACAAGTCAAATAAACTTAAATCAACATGATTATCACTTGCATCAACATTCAAACAAACATCATCAAATCCATACAAGTCTTTCAAAGAAAGCTTAAATAATCCATTACATAAATAACAACGACCTATGAAATTTGTTCCTCTAGTAATAATACACCTATTAGCTTCAAACACTAGTTTATAGCCAAGACTATTCAAGGAAGGCCCTGATACAAGATTCCTACTAATATCCGGAGCATACAACACATCCCTAAGAATGATTGCATTCCCCGAACTAAACATTAGTTCTACTTGTCCTCTACCAAGGACCTTGATGGTTGAATTGTTCCCCATAAAGAGATCTTCTCCATCAACAACCTTGTGAAAGGTTTTAAACCAATGCCTCATCTTGCATACATGCCTTGAAGCCCCCGAATCAATCCACCATGAGTCATCATCCTGCACCATAAAAATGTTAGGATCCGTTGCATTTAAATCCAAACCGGAATTAAATTCAACCTCATGAATTGGATTACCTTTGGTGGGTTGGTCCTTGCTAGTGCTAGCATGACCCTCCTTGGCTTTCTTCATCCTTTTCTTAAAGGATAAACAGTCCTTCTTGCGGTGTCCTACCTTACCGCATTCCCAACAAGCAAACTTGTTGTTGTTTGCTTGCTTTTTGGACTTCCCTTTGGAAGAATTATTATTCTTCCTCTTGAAGCTAGTAGAGGCTTTAGCCCTTCCTTCATCTACCATATTCACGGTAGATGAGTTAGGATTTCCATCCTTAGCTCCCTCCATGGCACGAATCAGGTGGGTGGCCAAACCGGACAATGTCATGTCCTCTTTCTTATGCTTAAGATCATCTAGGGGGCAATTTATCAATTATGCTAGAAACAACAAATAGCTCATTCATAGCAATACCATGTTGTTCTAAGCTACCATAGATGCGTTGCAACTCATGATATTGATCCATTATGGATCGACCATCAACAAAACTTAAAATTAATAAAATTACTTACTAAAAACTTCTTACTTGAAGCATCTTCAGCCATATATTTGCCTTCTAAGGACTCCCAAAGCTCCTTAGCCGACTCCACATTTTGATAAACATCAAAAAGATCATCCTCCATACCATTCAAAATATGACCACGACAAATAAAGTCATCGTTGTCCCATTTTGACCTTTCACGAACATCTTCCAAGGATTCATTTTCATGTTCACTAGGCCTTGGAGTACTAATGACATAGGCTAATTTCAAAGATGTAAGAAGAAAGTACATCTTCTTCTTCCATCAACGAAAATCCACACCGTCAAACTTCTTGAGTTTGACAAAATTTGTGGTCAATTCTTTCACACTAGACATGCTTGATTACTTCTAAAACTTAAACTCTTTAGATTGTTAGGTTTTCAAGTAATTCTAAAACAAGAAGTACTATAATAATTGTGGGAACAAAACCTAACTATGTATAATTGATAATGAATTATACAAAAATCCAAATACAATTCAATGTATTACAACCAAACACTAATTTATAAAAGTATTACAGAAAAACACAATAAAAACACTAGTTGTGAAAGATAATTTACTTGCCTCTACTCCAAGCTATTACATCCAACATGAACATGAGAAAACCAGTGACCACTTGAGTCTCAATCCTTGACACACTGACTTAGGCGTATGAATACATTCCTAAAGAGTTTAATTTCCCCCACAATGGTGCTTGGGTTTGATCCGGAAATACTTTTTGAGATACAAAAGTCAGCCCAATTGTTCTTTGCACTAAGAAACAAATTGATGATGAATAATTCACAAAGAAGACTAAAATCAAGAAGATTTCTCACAAAAGTTTGCAAGATTTTTGAAAGAAATTATGGAGAATAACTTAGGGAGAATATCAAAGAATAATATTCTGTCATTTTGCTTTCGAAAAAACTCATTCTATATAAAATAGAATCAACCGTCGTATAAAACCGCAAATCGGCAAGAAGCGCGGACGCAAGCGAAGAGGCGCGGGCGCGCCACCATGGGGCGGGCGGCCTCCTTCTTTGCCTAAAAACTTCGTTTTTTCCAGAAAGTTAGCGCGATTTACGCGCGGTTTGGGCGCGGGTCGCGCCATGTCATGACGCGGGCGCGCCAACCGGAGTCTCTCTAAAGTCTAAGTCAAAGCTTGGAATTCACTAATATTCATGCTAGAATTATGACAGTTTGCTTCTATGTGATGGACTCCATAGCCCAAAGATATATTTATCCTCGTTTTTTTTTTTTTTTTTTTTTTTTTTTTTTTTTTTTTTTTTTTTTTTTTTTTTTTTTTTTTTTATCCTCGTTGAAGAAAGATTGCTATAAATTTGTAAGATTAGCTGTTATGAAAAAACTCTTGAGAATATTTTTATCGATACTTTTATGTTATTTTTTTTTTTTTTTTTTTTTTTTGTCATCATCTGCTGCTGTTTCAGTAGCTTCTAGTGCATGATGTAATAGACTAATAACTGGAGGGGGAATTATGGAAGTCTAGTATTATTAGGTTAGTAGTCTTTAGCCTTAGTATAAATTGAGAGAGGGAGTGAAAGGAAGAGTTAGGTAGAATTTTGTAAAGGGAAACCTTGAGAGAGTTATGGCCTAAAGCCATTGTTGGAGAGTGATTAGCTAAAGGTATCAAGAGAGTAATAGCCTTAAGCTATTGTCCTATCCCTGTGTAAGCTTTCAGCCACTGTTAATCAAAATATTATCTTTTCATCATAGAAGAATCAGTTTACCAAAAAAATCAGATTATTTAGTAGAAATTTTTTTTTTGAAGTTTGGTCTGTGAATATCAGTGCATTACACGAGTGTAATGTACTGTGATTATTGCTAACAGGAAAATAGAGATGAAAAGATTGATTCTTTGAGAACTAAGTAATCTGATTTTTGTAAAAAGAAGAAATAATAAAGATGGAAGCTTTAAATATTGATTAACACTGGCAAAAGGATTACAAGAGATAGGGTTAACAGCTTAACAATTGCTTTAGACCATGCTGACAATGTATTATCACTGGCAAACCTTGCATTTGAAGAAACACAGATAGTTGTTAAGGTATCTTTTTATTGCATATCTCCTTTCAGAGTTTTGACTATATGCATACCCTTTACAATAACTTTATGCCTGGGGCCTCTATTCTTTGTAACTGGAGAGCAATTGAATTTCTTCTCAGTCTACTATGATGGAAATTACCACATTGCTCACTGATGGCATTACACTTTTGCATTTTGATGTAATTAATAAGGTTGGGCACAAGATAGTCTCAGATCTGTTGTATCCTCGTAGTCATAAGATTTTTAATAATGAAATCATGAAAATTTCTGAGCTCTACTGATTAGAGAGGGTAGCCTTACAGTCTTATAATCCACGCAGCGCCATTTTTTGAAGTTCTGACCCTGTATATGATGCACATGTAATGAATACTGATAACGGAGATGTTTGGGATTCTTGGATGGAGTGTTTGGGGATTACATGAATGTGTTATTGGGGAAATAAAGGGGCTAGCCAAATTATGGTTAGTTTTCTAGTATGGTAAATCTGTCAATATTTGTTGTAACTACTTTTTTGTTAAGGGGGGTAAAGCAGCTTTCTAAAGTTTCCATTATCTTTTGGGATAAGTTTCAGCCCAGCTACCCTTCATTTTAACTGAACATTTAGTGAAATAAGTATCCTTTGTGACTCATGAATCAGCTTCTTAAAGATAGGAGTGTCATGTTATTCATCAATATCTATTGGGCGTTTAACTTTATTCCTAGAGTTAGTAATAAGCACATGCTTTTTCGAGTGCCTTACTCAGACCACTAGCAATGGTGAGCAAAAAAAATGCTCACCCACTCTCTCTCTACCCACTTTATCTCTCAACAAATCAGTTTTGCTCATGGGCAAATTTTTTTCACATTTTCTCTCCCAATGGTGAGCAAAAAAAATGCCCACCCACCACTCTCTCTCTTACTTTTTCAATACCCCACCATTACTTTCTCTCTCCTACACAACACTTCTTTATTTATTAATTTCATTTATATTTTAACAATGTTATTCCAAATAAATAAAAACTAGTTTAAATTTGTGTAACTTATTTTTTTTATTTTTGTCTTTTTTATCGTTAAAATTTGTCGTAAAATTAAGTACGTTATATGAAATAATTGTAAAAAAAAGCTCAAAATTTCTTAAATATTTTTATTTATTTTAAAAGCGGTACAATACTAGAAACCAATTACATTTGCAACGTCATGCGTAATTAAACTTAGGAAATAAAATAAACACAACAATTAAAAAATTACTCGACTGCGTACGGAAAAGTAGCTACGCCATAGTACTTGGCTTTATTTAAGTCGTGCTAATTTCTCCCTAATTATGTGGCCCGTATCGTTGCCAAATATGTTCGACTAAATCACGTTTCAGAGATAGATGAATTTCTCTGTCACCCTCGGGTCGCTGTAAACCGCCAGATGAAAAACCATCCGTAGGGGTATCATCCTCTACATCATCTCTGAATCTCTTCCCACTTCCAGCACTACCTTCTTCCTCAGCATCACAAGCGGCTTTTCTTTCCTTCAAGGACATTGACCATCTCAGCTTTGGTCTCCACTTTGGATCCTTGTTAAGCATTTCAATTGCGTGAGGAAAAGTGAAATTGCGACCTTGGGCGACATGAAAAAGCTTCGCCGCACTTTTCATACGATCAGCTTCATTGTAACCACTCCCTTCCTCCGGAAGTCTACCTGCTTCATCATAGCAAGATATCCATTGCAGTGTGTCCGCTGCCAACCTTCTCCAGTGCGACGTCAGACTCTTAATAGGCCTTGGCGGAATTATATGCGGCTTCTGCGTATGCAAAGTTTGATATGCTGCGTGTACATTGCACCATAGGCTAGTTGCTTTTTGGCTTGTACTTTTAATAGCATCCTCGCTAATCTGCAAGTACAACCCAATCAGAGCTTCATCTTCCGCAACAGACCAAATACGGGTAGCTCGTGCAGGAACCTGGTTGGGTTCCAACAAGCGAACTGGTGGAGGAGGATACTGCGGCGTCTCTGGTACGCTTTCCTCTTCGCTCTCATCGAAGAGTGTGTTACTACCAAGATCAGTTTCAGGTGTACGATCTTCATTAGCAGGGTTTTGTAGGGGAACCTCAGTGGGTATCTGATGCAGTGGAGGTGGTTGTGACAACATATTGCTCATTCTTTGCAAAAACAATTGAAACTCGGGATTAGTTAGGAAATCATCACTAAAACCCGAAAATTGTTGACGGAAATTTGGGTTGTTTGGATCCATTAAAAGATTTTGCATCAAAAAACAAAAGATAAGTATCGTTACAAACATTTACTCAAAAAACAAATTAAAATGATAACAAATCCAAAAAAATATCAACAACTTTCTTCAATTGCATAATGCAATTACATTACATGCCATACAATATTTTTTTTTCCTCACAAAATAACATATATACTAATTTTAACACATAACTACATGTACATTTTTAAAAAAATAATTAATCAATACTTGCAACACTTTAAGAACTATGAATTTAGAAATTTCTTGAGAAATTATACACAACTTTGTTTAATTACATAATGCAATATAATTTCGTGGCCTATCATATTGATTTTTTTTCAAAAACCAAACATTTACTAATTTTATTATGTAACTACATTTATATATAGCAAAAAAAAAATTAACCAATAATTGCAACACTTTAAATAACTACAAATTTAGTAATTTATGGAGAAAATATACACAACTTTGTTTAATTACATAATGCAATTTAATTTCGTGGCCTATAATTTTTTTTTTCCACAAAATCACATATATACTAATTTTATTACGTAACTACATTTATATATAGCAAAAAAAATTAACCAATAATTGCAACACTTTAATAACTACAAATTTAGAAATTTATGGACAAAATATACACACCTTTGTGTAATTACATATTGCAATATAATTACATGGCCTACAATTTTTTTTTTTTTAAAAAAAAATCACATATATACTACTTATATTATATAACTGATTTTAAAAATTAAATAAAAAAATTTTTACCTCAATATGGCTGAATTGCAACAACAATATTCTTCTACAAATTTAAAATACTTTTAAGAAAATTAAAATTTGGAGGATTTTAAAGTGTTTACGAAATTATATCAAAATATATCAAAATGCATGTCTATTTATAGAGAATTTAATTTTATGACCGTTGGTAATTTTTTTTTTTTTTACAAAATATATTTTTCAGAAAATAGATTACAAAATTATATCCGTTGTAAACGGCTAGTATTTTCAGATTGGCTAGCAAACTGCAGGAGCCACGTGTCGCGTCTTCATTCACTCCCTCACTGCACGCGTCAGCTCCTCTGCTTTTTTTAAAAAAAAAGCCGCTTCATCAAAACGACGAGTTTTGATTAACGTCCTTTGAGGGAGCTTGACTGATGCGCGTCGTTTTGATGCTCAGTGCTCCGAATTTTTTTTGCTATGTCAGCCAGCTGTGGGCCCCACTCAAGTTACTATTCATCACAAAAAATGCTCAAGTTTTGAGCTTTTTTAAAAATGCTCATGGGCTTTTTTTTCCATTTTAACAAATTCTCACCATTGTAAAACTTGAGCATTTTATTTCCTCACAAAAAAGACTCATGAGCAAAAAAAAGACTCACCATTGCTAGTGCTCTCACAGTGTCAGTTAAGTAGCAACTAGTCAGCCAAGCTTCTTTGAGTAGATAATACAAATAAAGAAAACATATACTTTCATCAGTAACAAATCAACAATAATATAATGACATGTTCCATCTCTTTGTTACTCTATGTTAAAAGTTCCAAGGTATTTAAATAATTGATACCAAGTATAGTGTATAGTTTCCATTAGACAATTATCCATTGACCGGAGTTAATAATCAAAATAAATTACTTTAAAGTAAGTATAGAATATCTCGGATATTATATCATAGAAAAACGTAATAACACATATATTTTAAAAGGTATTCTCGTCAAATTATTTTTATATATAAAGTATAGGAGTTTGGACCCTCTTCCAGTTTTAATATTAAATATATTAAGATAATGTGACAATTAATTATCGAGAAAACGAGCTGAGTATTATATATACTATCAAAATTTACCTCAATATAAACCAAGAGAGCCTTAAAACGTTGAGCATAATCATTCAAAATTAACTGACTAGGCGTATCATCATAGAGTAGTGCTTCATCTCCAAGATAGACTAATATAGGAGACTTAGCTTTGGCACCTCCCCAATACTTATAACTAACGATATACTTTTGATTGAATTTTGCATAACTTTCTGGTTGATAATTGAAGTGATCAAGTGTTTGTTGGTAATGTAAAATGTTAACATCATTATCAAGAGAAGATTTCATGGTTACGGCGCCATGATTATTATGTTTTACTCTTGATTTGCTAATAACTTTCATTCTTGCCATGACAAGAAAAGAAGTTGAGAAGATCAAAAGAAGTAATAATAATGGAAGAAATTGGAGCAATTTTGTGAGAGAATTCATTGCAATTTGTAATTAAGATTAGTGTTTGTTACTTGGTTTGTACACTACACCATGATCGAGTTAATGGGACTTATGAATGTATACTTATATACAAGTGTTTACACTTGGAAATTGATTGGAAAATCCACTCAATCTTAAAGGTATTCTAGTACATTGATTAGTCAAAGATCGATCATTTTCAATTGCATAAAAGTATTTTACTGATAGAGTATAAAACGTATTCCTAGGCCTCAACCATTAGTTTAAGTTTTTGGTTGATTTGGTCCTCTAACATGGTATCGAAGCCAACGTGACACAAAGTTCACGGGTTCGAATCTCATCCACCCCCCACTTTCAAGTGGAATATTAAGCGCTGGGTATGAGGAGGGCCCATGCTGCATCCACACTTCTAGCCCAATGAGCTCTCGTGTGAAGGGGCGTGATAGAGTATAAAACGTATTCCTGGGCCTCAACCATCAGCTTAAACTTTTGGTTGATTTGGTCCTCTAACATTTACATTTTTATAGAATTACGTCATTTTTATTATGAGAAGTTTGATTAAGTGAAAACTAAATTATGATGAAGTTAACTTTGCCATCTAATTGTAGGATCGATTCATTATTCCATTGTGTGAAATAACGACAATAATCTATCCTCAATTAATTTTGGTTAATCAATTTTCATCCACTAAAAGGTTATCCTTTTATGTTAAAATAAATCACGATTTTGATAGCTCAAATAAGTTCAAATATGTCATTTTTCCCAGTCAACTGCCATACTTCCAAAGGTCATCCTTAATCTTAGGAATTTTCCTCCTCCTAGATATGATCGAATTCTAGATTTAATTCGTGGCAAGCAATGGAAACTGTGGCCTAGTTTTGTTTTTCTTCTTAAAAATCTTGGATAGTTGTTAAATATATAACCATTTTAAATTAGAGAAAATTTTAGAATACTTTTTAAAGCATCTCTCAATTTTTGTAAATATAATGTTATGTAAAATTTAAATAATAATTAATAAAGTTCAGACAAAATTTGTTCGGAGAAAGGGCAAATGAACTCGAGATACAGGTTTGCCCTTTACACTTCAGGACTTAACTCTAAAGCTGGGCATAAGCCGGGCTGGCACGCGGCTGCCCGGCATGCCAGATGACCTGAGTCAACACGAGCACAGCACGTGGAACGGTCTGTGGGCCGTGCCGTGAACAAGGAAATTGAAATTTGGCACGAGCACAGCGGGCGGCACGAACACCGGCTCGTCGGCACGGCCCGCCATGCTCGATACTTTTATAATAAAATAAATAGTTTTTTAACAAAATAATAAAGCAAATATTAAAAAAAAATGGGCAACACAGGGCCGGCACGACACGCCACGCTAGGCACGTGGGCCATGCCGTGCCGTGGGCCGACTTGTGGAAATGGCCGGCACGACCGTGCCAGCATAACGGCACGGCATGGCCCACCATGTGGCTAGGCACGGCCGGCACAGTCCACGACAGCACGGCACAGTACGGTGCCCAGCTTTACTTAACTCATCAATAGCATCTTACTATCTTAGTGAGCATTGAACACAACTCATAACTTCAAAAATATGAAATGACAAAATATGCGTAATGACTAATGACTGAGATTGTAGTCAAAACTTCCTAACTACCGCCAAATATACACATAAAATGAGATGATATAGACGAACATCCAAGTTTATTACATCAATTCTAGGATATACATACAGATTCGAACCCCCTTCAGGGAGTTATACTCGTCGCTGCAGTTGGATCAATCATAATAATGCAAACGAGTAAATATTCCACGGACCTTTTTCCCTCACTTGTGATTCCAAATTGCATCCCCCCAATCCTCTTTTTCACTCTTTCTCCAGTTTTACGACAAAGAACGGAGAAAAATTTCTCTCCCATTCTCTCAATATAGAAGGTATGTTTAAAAAAAGAAGCCGTAATTTTTTTTTATATTAAACAAATAAAGACCTACTGCTAAATTACATGATGTATGGCAAACTATATGGCCGCGATGTATTGCATACAACAGCATTCTATTTCTACAGGAGAAGAGAAGTAGAGAACTGCTCTGGCTTTTTATTTAAGGTACACAGAGCCGTGTCTTCTTGCGCACCTCATTTTCTTTTAACGTTCTTTCTTTAACTTTTTCGTCCATAAGATTCATGCAATTTACCCATTGTTCTCATCATCACGGTGCCAATCACTCCAATTTTGGAAGGATTAACCATTCAGGAGTCGCTTGCTTAGTTGCTTACTGCTTTAGAAACCAAATGGTGACTTTTTCCGGCTTCCACCTTCTCCGTACTGATCATTCCACTTTCGTAATTCATTCATGCTAGCTGCATCATAAGCAACTGAAGGTCCTACCTGCAATGTACAAAATGATCAAGCAATGACAAACTTTGTCAGAAAATTTCACCTCAACTAATAACCAGCAAGTGAAAAATATGACCTCTTTCCTCCTCTTTGACCAGAGATGAAATATTTAATTTAGTTTGTAACGGATTAGTGAGTTAGGTAAACACAGTTCTTTCCTATTCCCAGAAGGGATGATAGGTTTTTGGTTGTAAGGAAATTAGCATAGGTAAACAGTTCCCTCTCCGCCATACACAAATATCAGAGCCTTTATATGATACTATTTCATATTATTAAACAGCCATTGTGTGTTCATGTGCAAGAAAGATATAGCACTGAGATTTCTACAATATTTTAGATATAGAGGATTGCTTTTTTCCTTTTATAGCTGAGGTGAATTATTCCCTTTCTCCACCTCTGACTATAAACAGAAAGCAAGAGAAACTGGATAGGTAGATAGAATGAAAACAAGGACATATTCTCTAAAAATGACAAAAGGCTGGCAATAGGACACCCCTCGAGCTAAAATGACAAAATATAAAGCCTCAAGGCTTTCTAACTAGTTTATATGGAACACAATCAACGCATAGATTTTTTGTTTGAAAATTTTGAGGATGAAAATTACTTTAAAAAGAAAAATTCTAATAAGGGGGCATATTGAGAATGAAATTTCCTATAAAAATCCAATCTCTAACTTAGCACAACTTAGAAAATTTTCAGGTTGTGAATATAATTTCTCCACTGGCTTTTAAAGTGCTATTATATCCTTTCACTTAACACTTCGAGATAGGGATTTGCTTGCGTCCCATGGTCTAGTGTAGATAAGTCAAGTAGTGGATCACAATTACTCATCCCTTCCAAGTACCAGAGCATACTGCCTTCTTTATAATACTACTTGCAACTCCAAAATAATCAACACTATAAGCTTGAAATAAAAAAATAATAAAAAATCAATTTTATATTTCAATTATTATCAACAACGTATTTCAATGCAACAATAATTGACATGGAGTCCAAGAGAAATAGAAGTTATTCGTGTCCAGTGGCTTTTTCTTTGTCACCGTATAGACTCGTTTGAATAATTAAGCCCATAGGAAGGACTAATGCAAAAAGTAGTAAAACAAATTACCTTGGATTTTGATTGAATAAAATCTTCCAAACTAAGTGGACGTAGTATTGAAGATGTAACGTTCTTCTCAACCTGTCAGGAAAAGCAATTGAACGTATTACAAACGGGTAAATGACCGTGCTACTAGTACACATAACCTTTATATAATAAGGCACATAAACACATCCTTTCACATAGCTTAATGACAACTCCACAACCCCAAAAAGGAATTCTTCAGAATTGCCAGTAAGCTAAAGTTTACAATAAGAACAATCACATGAAAAACATGCATGACAGCAAGAAGAAAACACAATAATATTTAATACTTTTGTTTGCCAATGAGCTAGCTCTTTGCTCACATGCTATCACATGAAAGTACAAGGACTCGACTCCTGAAAGCCTCAATCCCATGTAAAGTCAGGGATACAGATCAGACTGAATTACTGCTTCAGCCTGATTGAATATAAGTTTGCTGAGAGATTTACATAATACATGTACCTTATTTTCTTGTTCCAAGAGTTCTTGGACAGGTCTATATGCAGCAGCGATGCAGAGGTTCTGCAGAACAAAGTAGATATATGTTAGAAGCTCAAACATGTAGGATAATGCCAAAAAAAATGAGATCAAGAAAATTCAGAATACCTTCAAATCACTCCCAGAATATCCTTCTGTCACATTTGCAAGCTTATCAAATTGGAAATTTGGCTCAATGTTCTCTTGAGCAAGAAATATTTTCAAAATCTTCATTCTATTTTCTACATCTGGAAGGTCCACATAAATCCTGCATGACAAACAGATATATCATGATTCTAAAGCAACTGCTTTCAGATAAGCAAATATAACTGCTATTTTCAAAATCTTCATTCTATTTTCTACATCTGGAAGGTCCACATAAATCCTGCATGACAAACAGATATATCATGATTCTAAAGCAACTGCTTTCAGATAAGCAAATATAACTGCTATTTTCAGAGCTTCCAAAATTTAAACAACCAAACAATTAAAGAGGCTAAGAAAAAGTATAGAGAATTATCCAATATACATTGACGAATATCAAAAGCAGGAACCAGAGCAAACCAGGAAAATATAAAATTACAATGCCTCAGGTTTACAGCATAAAATGATCTTGTAGTCTCAAACCAGCAGATTTTTGAAAGAATTAAATTAAGAGAGGTAACTTAGTTGGCACTGGGCAGAGAAGAAGCCAGGCAATGAGCAAAAATATTGTCTTACCTTCTCGGCAAACGACGAATGACAGCATCATCAAGGTCAAATGGGCGATTGGTTGCACCAAGGATGAGAATTCTTTGAGTATCCTTTGTCCTCAACCCATCCCAAGCAGCCATAAATTCATTACGCATTCTTCTAGTTGCTTCATGTTCAAAGGACCCACCACGAGCACCAAGCAAACTGTCCACCTAAATGAAGAGAAAAGGCATCTTCTTTACTATACAGAGCTCAGACCACACTGTCAACCGCAAGCAGCATGCAACACTCCCATTCAAATAGCTACTTTCCATGGGGAACAAGCTTACTTAATTATGTCTATTCTTAGTGTTAAGAAAACCAGAAAAAAGATGCATCTAAAATGGCAACATATGATCATTAAGGGTCTGTTTGGCCAAGCTTCTAAAAACCAATTTCTGTTTCTTAAAATTCTTTTTCTTAGAAGTAGTTCTCTCGAAACACTTAGGAGAAGTAGTTATGTTTGGCCATAAAATCTTAAAAGTACTTTTAAGAATCAAAATCAGTTTTTACATTGTTTGGCCCAATATACATGGTACTCCTTTTTCTTTTCATTGATATGGCTTTTATTGGAGTATCCTATTCATCATCTTCTTTGCTTGAATCGTATGAACAAATAACAGTAGCAGCCATAACTACCCACAACTCAATTTCAATTCCTCTAATGATTTAATTCATGGATTTGGAAGCAATCTAACTTTTCATAGTCCCATATTTCTTCACTCCCATAACATCAACCAAGTTGGTTGACTGTTGAAATTAATTCGCAAGATCGACCCAGCCTCTTAGAAAAAAAAAGAAAAGAAAAAAAAACCACAACAACGCAACATCACTGTCATCTTTCTCATAATAGAAAAATTAACAACCATATCATCTCAGAATTCATTTCCAGTGAGAAAATAGAGAGAGTTTTGATTTTATAAACAAATTTTCAGACCCTCAATTTTCAAATTTTTTTTAATGATAATTTGTTTATGGAGGATGTGAGGTTGAAGGAAAGGGAAATTGGGAGAGCAAGGAGACTCGTAGCCATAGAACAGAGTATCAGTAATGGTTATTGAGAGAAAAGGGGAGGAGAGAGAATGTTTTTAAGATGGGACACATGGGTATTTTCTAAAAACTCAAGGGTATGCTAAAAATTCATTAATTGAGTATATTGGCTCCCCGAGAACAGTTCCAAGAAGCTCCAATTTGATGCTTCTGCTTCTACACTAGCTAGAAGCTATTTTGGGGTCATTTGGGCTTTCAGAAAAATTATTTCTACTTCTACAAAATCCCTTGTTTGGCCAATTTTCAGATTCTCATGCTTAGAAACCTTTTCAAGAGCTTGGCCAAACACTACCTAAATTACATTGTAATCAAGGTAGATGCAAATTTCTGAAGACAAAAGAAATTTTACGGTTAAATAGAGCCATACTTCAGCATTTAATACAAGCATTCTGATAATGTATATTACCTCATCAACAAATATTATGACTGGTGCCAGCTTACTAGCAAAAGAAAAAAGAGCCTTAGTAAGCTTTTCAGCATCTCCAAACCACTGCCATGTAATTAATTGAAAACAATTAGACAAATATTGAGATATATATCATAAAGGAAAAAAAATATCCAATTTGGATTACAAGGCTGACAAGATCAAGTGAGGTCAAGATGTAAAGCCTCATCAGTCACCATAACAAGCAAAGACACCATGCATTCAAGAAATCATAACTTTTCAGAGGACATGAGACAGTTAAAACATGAAAAATATAGTTTGCTATATAAAGCGTATAGTTCTACTAGTACCTTTTTCAATTTCAGCACAAAGCTCATACATTAGTACACCGCATCATTATGTCCATATCAAGCACATTTCGAAACAAGAGCTATAAAGACAGTTATTTGACCAAACAATTCCAAACTCAGGTGGAGAGACTACAACTTTAACGCTCATGATCACTGTAGAAGTTATAAGTCTGACATTGAACAGAAAAAAAATATTCTTTATTTCTTCTTCTCCGCTAAGAAACTAACACATGCAACACCTTATTTGATGACCATTGACTAACACGAATATTAAACAAACAAAGATGATACAGCAGTGTAAGCCAGACATAAAGGCAGCTTTTGAAGACTAATTTTCTAATAAAGGGTGAGATATCTCTGTGTTTTAATTTATGTCAATTCTGAGGAAATCTAGACTCTAGTTGTATTCTATATTACTCTTTTCATTCTTTCAGAAAAAAAAAAAAAAGAATACATTACTTTTTCATAATTGGCAGAAGGAGGGTTTGAGGCTGGCAGCAAATGAAAATTTGTTAGGCCCTCTTCTCTTCACTTGATTATTGTGAATTAAAACTATTTTTCAAGAGTAAATCATTTTAACAGAAATTAATTTTTTTTTTTTCTAAACTTATATTATTTTTTACTAAAACTTATTTTTATTGATTTGCTATTATATTTGTTCTTTACAAAATTTATTTTACTGAATTTAACTTATTTTTGCAATACATACCACATTTTTCCTAAACTTAAATTACTCTTTCTAAAGATTATTAGAATAAGGTGAATAGAACATGGCATTAGTCTACAAACACAAGAAGCATGATAGTTTAGAATATTGGAAACAAAACATATAAACAAGACTACAAATTGCATGCAGATGTAGTAAGATAATGAGACAGGAAAAAGTTTATAAATCTAGATTACAAAAGTCAGCCAGATGTGCTGCTCATACCTTTGATGTTAATGTTGAACCAGTAATGCTAATGAAATTTGCCCCTGCTTCAGTTGCAAGTGCTTTGGCAAGAAGAGTTTTACCAGTTCCCGGAGGTCCAAACAGCAAAATACCCTTGCAAGGCTGTTAAGAGCCTCAGACTATTAATAGATGCATGTAATATTTTTAACAAAATTAAACTCAATGAGTATTTGATGCAAAGGAGTACCCGCAGCAAATTTCCACGAGAGAAAAGTTCTGGCCGCCTCATAGGAAGAATAACCAATTCATTCAGTGCCTTCTTCACATCTTCAAGAGCACCAATATCATCGAATTGAACACCTACTTCACCAGGGGGAACTACTGCTGTAATAAAGTTGCTCTCATACTCATCCTTCGCAAGATTCTGCCAGATCAGATAATTTAAATACATGAAGCTATAACAGAGAGTATCATCAAATCGCATGTTAACTAAATGCATACCTTAAGATTTTGTGAAGGCTTTTTTGTAATTGACTCCTGCTCCTTTAACCTTGAAATTGCAACCTCCAAGCTATACGCAAAACACCAAACAGAAATTGCAAAAACCAAGTCAGATATGTGCAACATAAGTCTGTCAAATAAATATGAAGAAATAATACACTACAAACCTTTCACGAGGCAAAGTGAGTCTTTCTCCCTTGATGGAAGGAATAAGGCAAGATGCTAAGTAATGATTTTTGGCCCAGCCAACAACCTTCTCGGCCTCTGTGGATAGAGTTAGAGGAAGCAGTAGGTCAAAAAAAGACACAGGAGAAGGAAATACTTGATAAAGCACCAGAGCAGAAATAATAATGTGGAAATACATTCCTGGTCCAGGCGAAAATATATAACAGAAAATGGAGAAGACTGCCAAATAGGTATCTTTTCTCACATCAGTTACATGGTGACCCATCATTTTGCCGCGAACACAAAAAAGACACCATTATAACAATATTGAGTATCTAAGAACCCAGTCAAACCCATTGAAGATATAACAAGATAGCCATATTCCCTAGTAACTTTTCCGTTTACAATGATACAGTACCTCACCACATTTTTTTAAAAAAAAAAATGCAACATTTTGACCATCACAGAAATTTAGGTGGTTGAGTTGAATTTGTTAAAATATTGTGTATGCAGGGTTGGGGAATTAAAAACTACAAAAAAGAGAGTGGGCTAATAGTTTTTTTTAAAAAGGGATGTGAGGTGAGAGAAATAATAATCAAGTATGAGAGGTAAGAGTTGGGGACCGTGAGAGGACAAGGATATAATAAAATAGCGTGGATTATCTCCATCATGGGAAGTGTTGCATTAAAAAAAAAAAAAAAAAATAGAGGGAGTATTACAACAAACCCCTGTGTAAACTCATTTAGCCTCTCCACAGAATAGATATAAGTGAAACTTCACCAATTATGTTTTAAATAGATTGAAGCTCAGGTAAATACTATGCAGAGACCAGCACTATTATGACCACAACAATCATCTTGGGTACTTACTTTTTTTTGTCAAGACCACACCGTCAGTGCCAACTTGCAGTAACTCCAAACAAGAAAGCTCGTGCTCTTCAAGAGCCTGCAGTACATCATAACTTCATAAGAGTGTGATATATATTCAAGTTAGCAGGGTTGGTTCCTATATTTATTTTTTTTACCTATTTGGAACGATTTTGTCACTCGATACATCCATAGAAATAATTTGTTGACAACAATGATCCAAGGCCAAAATTAAGTATATAGTATGGATAGAAGTCGCAGATACTCAAATAAAGAAATTTCCTTGTCTCCAAAAACAATGGCTGGGAATTTCTCCCCATCCCAGACATTACCCTTAGCCAATGCCTAGTTTTATATAAAGGAAAGGTAGTAACATAAAATCAAACTGAAAGCCAACTAAAACAATAAGACCAGAGTGAATCCCATGCCCAGCAGAATCTAAAGGTCAACATATACTCAGCCTTACACCTGAGTAGCTGGAAGGCTATATCCCTGTACTATGACAAAGGTATGCAGTACCTTATGTAGTTCATTCAGATTGCTGCGTGAAATTACTATTCTCCTGTCTTCTTCAAGTTGTTTATTAAAAGTACGAAGTAGCTCTTCCTCCTGATAGCAGCATGAAGAGAGAAGACAATCAAAAGAAAAGATGACATATTCAAGACCTTTAAATATAAAAGCAGTAAGGACCTTAGGTATGAGAACAAAAAAGACTTTCATGGATAAAATCTGTTACACCAAAATATATTTTACAAGGGGCAACAAAATATCGGCAAGCTGATATGACATGATTCCACTGTGGAATTAAATCAAGGCCCTTCGGTTACAAGGTTGTTTCTTAAGATTTTCAACATGCAAATTTGCGAACAATGCCTGTAACATGTACTTTTCACATCACACGATGAGATCAGGTATATACCTTAATGTGCTGTTACCGCAACCATTATAAAACCACGGTGTAAGTTAAAAAAAATTCACATACATGAGATCTTAAAACTCATTCCTTTTTGCTCACAATAATACATAGCAGCTTTGATATAAACTTTAAATATTTTTCATAATTTAACAGATTTAAATTCTTGAATCACAATCATCAAAGAATCGAACAAAGGCTTACATACTCATGAGTGACCGCATTCTTAACCAAAATGACCAAAGAAAGCTTAAAAAAAGAGCTCAAGAGGACTAAGATGCACACGAATGGTGTCCAACAAAACAAGTTGATAAAAGAAAAGACATTTGGTAGATTCATATAATGAAAGCCATCATCTTAGATCTATTATAACGATGGATTGCAATGATTAAAGGAAACTGTTGAAAGGGATATTGATTAAAAGGAAGCCACAACAGCTTAATTCCAAAATGCATAGTATTAGCAGTTACTCAGTTACCTTTGGTGGATGTATACACATGACATTTGTAAAAAGCTTATATATATCAGTGTCATCAGATCTCTTTGTTGCTTTAAGTCCCTCTGTCAGTCTTCTTAAAGGAAGTGGCTGGCAAATTGAGAAGAAATGGGAATGGAGTTAGATGCAAAATAATAATTAATGACAGAAGACAGAAGGTAATTTTGAATTACATCATTAATTAGGAAAACTAACATCAATCCAGAAACACCAAGATGTTCAATCAAAAACTCATTATATCTTAATACACAAAATTGACCAAAAAATTAATAAAAAAATTGAAGATATAAATGGTAGAATTAATGAATTGGCAATCTTTTTGTATTCTTTGAAATAATCAAATAAATTCACAGAAGACAAACACTTCAGCAAGATGAAACATATGTTACAAAGGACCACTTTGAGCAACTCAAAAGCTATCAACTCCTCCATAATTTCTTCCCTCAAATCTTTACTAATATTATCAGAAAAGGATTTAAAATTATGAGTTTCAATATATCTATCATAACATGTTTATACCAATTACCAAGAAAGAGAAATAACTCCTCTCATTGCAAAAGTTGCACATAAAAATAATAATCAAGATATGCATGCAAACAGCCAATCTAGTGATTCCACCCTTTTCCTTTGTCCAAAAATAATCGAGCAACTCAAAAAATTGATGTATGTGAGGCATGCAGTATATAAACCATCATATCACCATTCACCAAGGTTCTAAACAGAACCGTCACAAATTCACAATGACACCCAGTTGGGATAATGTCAGGAAAAAACAACAAAAAGAAAGATGAGGATATAAGAAAGGAAAGAAAGAAAGACAGAGAAATTAGAAACTTTAAAAACAAAAATTAGTCAATATTATGATGCCAATTGCTAAGAAAAGAATGTGAAACATTACCAGCTTTGCAAGGCGGCCAAAATTCGGGAGTATCATTGTCTGCAAAACGACAATTAAAAAATATATATTTTAGCAATAATCAGTAGCTTGCATGCATCATGCATATGTAATTGTTTGGGGGGGGGGAGAGGGATAAAAATAAAACTATTTAAGATGTAAATTATTCTAATTGAACTTTCAACACAATCTTCAGACAAAACCTTAGCAAGAAAATCTATAACTTAAAAAAAAAAATTTCATAAAATCAGATTCAAAAGATTTGCTTTTCATTAGCACATACTCCTTCCATTCTCCATTAGTCTTCCTACTTTCCATTTAGGCATGTTCCCTCTTTAACCCATGTCTTTAAGCAACTAACTCTTTCCTGCCCAAAAAAAGGACCCACTTTCCAATAAATATTTAAAACCCTGTTTTCCTAGGTTTCTGTTGTTACAGTAAAGGTTAGCTGAATCCTCATCAATAAGACCAAAGCTTTACATAATATCAAGTTCAGAATTGAATATGACGTAATATTCTAGACAAATCAGTTGTAAATGAAGCTATTAGTTGATTTGGTTCTCAGTGTCAAAATAATCCACCAATAAGGATTAAAGAGACCAATAAACTGCGGAGATCTCATGGATGGACAAAGCAGAACATAAGGTAGCATATATGAAACTTACAAATTTCTCTTTTTCCTTGGAACCAGTTTCTACTTTGTTTTGCCCACAAATCAGGACCAATGGCCCTGATAATCGGTCAAACATCTCTCCAACCTTGCTAACAAACTCAGTACGATTGGACTTGGGAGCTGCACGTGACAACCACAGCGATGAATCGGGAAAATAGACAATGAGAGGTTGCTGTGACTGTAAAACCTGAAAAGACATGGGCATAGTCAGGCTAAAAGAACGCTCATGACAAAAATTAAGAACTCAGAAGAAACATCAGGATTCTCCATATGCAAATATTATTTTATACAGGTAGTCCCTAGTCTTGGATCCATAACATACTTCACACAAAGATTCCATAGCAATATAACAGTCCTCGGCCTGAGCATCAAGATCACGCTCAATATCCTTCACTGCAAATAATACAAGGAAACAATCAATTCAAAAACAACATACAATATCTTATAAACACATGGAAAGGAACTCTTTTAACCTATTGTTCCCTCATTCTTCTGCAATTGCAACATAAGGGGGAGGCAAATAGTTTAAGGCGCTCACGTGATGAGGGGAGGGGTAGAGAAAAATCACATGCAAATAGCGTAATGTTCCAACTATAACCATAACAAAACTTCCTAAAATGGAAAGTGTGGTAAAAATGAGTGGAGGTAATAATTGTTTGCACGCAACAAAGATAGTTAAAAGGAGGCGGGGGGGATTGGGGTGTTATGCACTTTATACAAACTAATCAAAACTTAAACACACCCCAGAGTTTTAACCACTGGTAAAACACCAAAAAAATGTCAAACAGGAAAACAGCAAAATACATAACATATATACACCAACTGTCTAAGAAATAACCAGTAGAGACCTGATGAAAGCATTAAACCAATAAACTGTGAAAATACAGGAAGAACTCAACAAGATTTGAGATTTTCACATCATGCCCCAATTACAGCATTTTATAGATAGATAAATATCATCAACAAGATGCAGGGAAAAAAAAAAAAAAGAAAAAAAAAACAACATTCAAAACTCAACTTACTCTAAATAGCTATAGAACCCAAAGCAACTCTATAGATCAGCAGTACAAGTAATGAGAAAGGGAGAAAACAACTCAATGGATCAATTATCAATGTGAAAAGATGACAAGAAAATTGTTCTGACTACCCCAACCCACTCCTGGCCGTACATAATGTAACATATGAGACTTTCATCCTATCAAATTTATCTGATGTATAGAGCATCACCTCTCTCTTTTTCACCGTTTCACATAGCTGGGGGGACCCCTGAGAAATTCATCTACATCTCCAATGAAATTTTCTTACTATACCCTGATCAGATGGGGTGAAATATATTTCTGTAAAATTTCAAACACTATATACTATACTTCATTTATTTCGGATTTTACATTTTTAAATATGTAAATTAAAATGATTAAATTAGACAAAGTAAACTTAACAACAACCAGGCTACCTCCCACAGTATATTTTTAGGCCAATTTTTCACAAAGATGAGCAAGTAGAAGCAAATTTTAATCATAAACAAAGACATTCTCCAATTTAGTCCAAGAGTGAAAATTTAAGTGCCAATTGCAGGGTGCTTCTGAATTCTGATACAAGAATGAACCTAACAAAGATCCCAAGGCCTGAGCCAAAGAAAGGCTCAGATGTTTCGGTTCGGCAGTATAATGTAAAAGATTTTTGATAGACCAAACCATTAATCCTGCTTACTCGACCAAATCAAAGGATCCAACCCCGAGTTGCCCTGCATTTAGCATTATGTCCTATGTTTAACCAAAAGTCACTTGCTATCATGAGATACAGCGAAAGGTTCCCTAAGTAGCTCTACGAGTCTAATAATATACTTAAACTACTCTAATAGCATACAATTATTAGAAAATTCTTTCAGAAATTTCAAATTTTATCTGCATCACAACACGGCCCAGTGGTCCACGATCAACGCAGCATTTCCATTCTCGTTACACCATGACCATTCCCATGATCAAGACCAAAACCATATTATCAAACCATAGCCACAGTCCAGAGTAAACGAGGACATATACATCTATTATTTTATGCTACAGATTCAAGCAGGCATAAACAAGATGACTGTTTTGCCAAGCTTCATTGTCAATTAGTGGATCAATCATTAGTGTTCATCATCTAGAATTAGTCAGAAATGACAATAATTGACTGTTCAACCAATGAAAAATAGAATAAACAATATCACTAAAAAAAATGAAGCTTGATCAGTATAAGGAATTACCAGGAATCCAATAAATTGGAGGTTTTGCATCTTCCTCTGCACTACCATCTTTTTCCCCCCTGTCCAAAATGACAGCTACACGGTCTTTTTCAACTTCGTATACCTCGCCACGCTGTCCAGTTGGTATCTCTCTGCAAATGTGGCCAACTCCAATATAATAAAATCCACGAAATACTCCTAGAAAAACAATAATAACTTTTACCCATCCCCACCCCCACCCCCCAACACACACACACACACACACACACACACAGTGAATAAAAAGAGAATTTAAGATAAACCATATATGTGAGAGAGGGATTTTTTATACAAAAATATAGTCAAACAAGCTCAAAGGGATTTTTTACTCTACATAAACTGTAATGCACTAAATAAAGACCTGAAAATGCAGAAGCAAAGACTTCTTCAAATGCATGAGTTTAAGAACTTGAATGACTAAAGTAGTAAAGTGATAAGAATAAACTACTTTATTTCTTCAAGCAGGATATAACTGACAGTTATTCATTCAAGAAAATACACCAAAGACCAAGGTCTGACAATGCATGTCAAGCAAAATGAGAAAATGCTAGAAACCGATACACATCAAACCAACAACACATATATGTCTCAACCCTCTCCTACAAAGAAACTAACTGTTGATATAGATCATTCTTTTTCAGCTAAATTACTCACAAAATAGCAAAGAAAGCCCATCAGCCACAATATTCTATTCCCAATAGACCTTCTAATATAAAGATAATAAATCTGCAGAATATATGATCAACCAACCCACCTTATCAAGTCTACATATTCAGCTTCTTTCCCAATAAGTAGCCATTTTACAATGCAAGAAACTTAGCCAATAGCCTAGTACATACTATTGATCAATCTCATTGGCCTAACATCCGTAACCACGACTTGGCATGAAGGTTGAAAAAGTTCAGCAGCTTAAGCTTTTTATTGCCAAAAAAATCTGATTCTCGTAGAACTTCTCAAAGCCTTTCAAAGTGTTACACAATTAGGATCCCGACAACCTTAACACTCCAAACGGCATCCCAACTCAAGGGCCTATTCAACTAACCTTTATCAGCACAAGGTGTCACAGCCTGCTTTAACAAGCTCCACAATATAGGGCCTGATTGGAAAAGGAAATCTCAACAACAGTAACCTCTTGATCTCTTATAACAACATATCCTCCAACCTCAAGCTCCTTCTGAAACTCCTCCAAACAATAACCTCAAAATACAACTTCAATTCTTTTCACATCTTGTCGACTCCTCCCACTAAAAACCCCTTCTAAAACTCCTCCAATTAGTGACCTCAAAGAGCAACTTTAACTCTTATCACATCTTCTCGACTCCTCCAATCCTCTAAGACTTCTTACATTGCATACTCCTATTATCCTACTCTTTTCAACCATCAAATCTTCCAATAAATTCTTTAGACCAGCCTGCTTGTACTCTATTTTCCCCCATTTAATCTCTCTCTCGCCAAAAGTGGCACAATGGTGATCATAAAAGCCAATCTAAAGAATATCTATGGTGAGTCCAAACAGGACTAAATGTAGCACTACGAAACTAGTTAAAAAATCTCTTGACAAAAAATTCTACAACCTAAAAAAATCCACAAATAAATTATATCAGAAGAATATATCTTCTTCTGTGTCGGGTAGAGAAAATAAAACCTTCTAAATGTAACCCTATCAAAAGGAAGACACGTTATATATGTTTTGCTAATAATGTACATTATTAATTAAGCGTAAAACAACTCATACTACAGTAATAATGCACATTACTTATATATTGTACAAGATAATGTAGGTCATATGATATTATTCAAGCAACATTTCAAACCACTTAAAAAGACTGTCGCAAGTTTAACTAGACTCAATTGAATTCTTAGAATGCGTATGAGTTGCTAAAGTGACTTTTATTACATTGGATCCGAGGATGTTAATCATGTGTTTGCAGGTATCAATTGGGTTCTTTCTCCAACATATAATGGCAACTTACCAACCCACCTGCTACGAATAATAGTATAAGCATTCATCGGCCCATCGGATGTTGGAATCTTCCCCAATAAGATCCTGTGAGCATTGTATATTGTCAATGATTAAGGGAGGGGACAATGCTATCTCAATAGGAGGAGATAGTGGTAAAGGTTTCTCTAGAAGAAATAAAGAAGAAAGAAGAAAAAAATTCTCTTTCTTATTTTACATCGGAAGTGTCAAGGTATTTTCTACCTCTAACCCACCCATAACAAAAGAGATTCTAGAACTACCATGATGAAATTTATAAACAAATTACAAATGAAATAGTGCCTATTATGCATTTAAACTCAGCTTGTATAATTCTTCCTGCTATGCCCTCTCTCTTAAAATGCAAAAGATAATAAAATCCCTGGATTAATCTTTAACGAGGAAGTTGTCCAAATCAACGCAAAAACAAACAGTTGAAAGAAAATAGTCTTTGATACTGAGGAGTATGAACAAGCATTAAATCATCCCACACATACAAAACAAAAGGTTTATAAATCAATAGAACAAAAACATGCAGAACAAGCATGATTTTTATTAGTCATCAACAACAAAATAAGTCTGAGTTTATACATGCATAGATATAATGTAAATCAGAATAGCATGCTAATTAGACAGAAGAGCACACATGGGAAAGATATGCTCGAAAAATTGCAAATGGTAACTCCATGATCAAGGTATTGTGAAGAAACACCAAAGAAAATTCTTTCAAAAATGAAACATAAAAGTGGAAAAGTTATGACCTGCTATCTGATTCAACATGCACAGATCGTCCAATGTACTTGATACGGTCGCCTGTAAGCAGACAGTATAAAATGACCATATTTACAAATTAACTTCAAAGAATAAATCAGTATATAAAGGGTAAATGAAGTCCAACAGTTATCAATTGTAACTATATTTTTAGGACATATTCATGCAGAAGCGCAATACTGGAACTAAAATCTCCAAAAAGAAAACACCAGATCATAATGTGGCGCGAGAATACATAGAAGCCACACAAACAACTGTTGTCTATAAACTGAAAAGCCGAAGTAACATGTGCGTACATGTACAAAAACCAAAAAAAAAAAAAAAAAAAAAAAAAAAAAAAAAAAAAAAAAAAGAGCCAAAGAAATCAATCACGGGCGGGGGGGAGCATGTCAGTTACGCTATTCACACCAAAAGGCATCCTCAGAAAAGCCTAAAGAATCACGCCAAAAGGAAACAAAGCACAATACTCTATACCAAAAATCTTTGCATTCCACCCATATTCCGAAGAATTAACATCTCTCTAATCACAAAGCACAAGAAATAGCCAAACAAACATATTGCACTGATATCTCCCACTTTTATTTCTTCCAAACTCCACATATAGACGTATGATGTGATGGTTGACCACTACAAAGAAAACAAAGGGAACAAATCCAGACCCAGAATGAAGGGCCAGGAGAATAAGTCAACAGTAATCAGAAACATTTAACCAATAAGTTACAAAGATATGCAGCAAAAGGAGAGATGACTGCCTTGCTTCATAGACAAAAGGCAATACATCAAGGGATATACACTTCCTAGGTTGCCAAGTATAAATCGTATAGAGCCACCAAAAACAAGATTTGCATTCCAAGAATGTAAAATATACAGGGACCTTAGATTTCCAATGTGTAAGCAACTAACGAAAAAGGAAATATTTATGGCTTTCTTCTATCCATTAATCTTGAAAAGTCAATCATTATATAATAAAATGATCTTAATGATAGCCTCCAGCATCCCAGACTCCAAGTAACTTTGACCACATGTACACCAAATAGAGCATCAATATTTCCAGTCTAGTGTAATGAACTTAGGGGAGGGTTTTACGGGAAATTTAGTATGTTAGTAGTCATTAAGTGTAGTACAGTAGAAAAATTATGTAAGGAACCAAGAGATGCCACATGGGCACAAAAGAAGACAAACAATCTAGAATCATCTTAGAAACTGTAAATAAATAGGAAGAGGGAAGGAGGAGAGAGATAGGCAGAAATCTGTATTGAAAGGAAACCTTAGAAAGTCATGGCCTAAAGCCATTGCTGGAGAGTTGTGAGCTAAACTCACTATTGGAGAGTAACAGCCTCAAGCTATTAAACCCAACTTTTGTAATCCTTCCCCACTGTCAATTAATAATAAAGCTTTCATTTTGTTATTTCTTCTTATTAAATCAATTTAATCAAAAAAGCCAGATTAGTTAGTTAATCAAGAATCAATCTTTTCTGTGAGTCCGGTCAGTGAAAATCAGTTCATAACATCTAGTCAACCAAAACCATATACATACAGAAATTGACCAAGATACTATATATAAATCACAGATACAAAGAAGAGAAATGCAGAGTTGAAGTAAAGAAAAAATGACAAAATACCTTTCCTCAGAGGTCGTTGTGACTCATCAGCAGTCTGGTTAACTGACTTGGAGGATTCAGAGGCACTTTCACATTCTCCAGATACTCGCTGCAACATGAGTGACAGAAGAAACAGCCAACTTAGTCATCATATAAGTTAAAATCTTGAAACACACCACTAACTCAGAAGGTAAAAGGAATAATATCAAGTAAAGCACATTTTTGTAGGAATCACCAATGGAGTCAATTGCATTGCCAAGAAAACTTTAATGTATGCCTAATTGAGCTGATCTATCAGTTTGAACAGCTTTAATAGAAAACATGTACTTCCTCCATTTCATATTAATTAACACACTTCGTTTAAACACGTTTTCCAATGCACACTTTTAAATGCAAATATCTTTAATTATGTATTAGAAAATATTATAAAAAAAAAAATTGATATTTGGATAATAGATATTGAGACAACAAGACCCCACATAGCTATATTTTTTCTTAGCACTAAATCACAAAACGAAGTCAAAGTAAGTTACGTGAATAGTGCACAAAGTCAAAATGTGTCAACTAAAAAGAAACGGAGGAAGTATGCACAAGGTTCAACCCCATATTTATTACAAAAGGTCACTTCACAAGGGTATCAACGTAAGAAACATGAGGTGCCCAGAGGGTAATAAGAATGAAAGTGAGATCCAAATTCCTCAAAATTTAGCAAAATTTTAGTAGGAATGAACTTCATAAACACACAAGAAAAATTTACTTGGACGTATGAGTAAAATTTTTAGATATGGAGATTATGCTAAAGATGATTTATACAGAACCTCAAATTTCACATAGCTTCGTAGTTAAGACAATAATTGGAAGAATAAAAATAATTTTGGACAGAATATAAGTTTTTGTACTTAGAATTTTTTTCTTAAAAAAAAAAAAGAAAAAGAATAAAAGAAAAAAAAAAAAAATTGCTTGAAACTTGTTATTAAACTTAAATTTGAATTTGATTTTATGAAATTTGTTATACCAGGAAAGCAATAAAATAAAAGGTAAAATAAATGGAAAAAATTGCGCCTTAGCTCCAAAGACCCTTGGCACCTCACGCCTTTTAAAACTAAGACCCATCCTCTACCTCGGTTGACCTCAAAATAAATTCACTGAAAATGGAGGAGGAAAGAGAGAAATCCATAAATAGAAAGGAGTTGGAGCACATTATATTGTCACTAAGGAAAAAAAAATAAGGACAAGGGAGTAAGAGAGAAGTCGAGGATTTGATGGGAATAGAATGGACATGAGGAGGAAATAGGAGAAAGAAACCAAGGTAAGTTCAAGCATATCCTTTGGTGTATTTCGTCAATTTGTAAGATTTTGTCAGCAAGTGCATAATTGAAACTTAAAATATATATACAATGTTAGTGGTATTTTACAAAAAAAAAAAAAAAAAAAAAAAAAAAGAAAAAAAAAAAAAAAAAAAGTATTGTACAGAGATGATAGCAAAAGGGTTATACAAAAGGTGATGTCCAGCAACTTTTAAAGAAAAAACAATAACAATACTATACAAGAAGAAGTCCACCAAAGAGAGTAAATGGAAATGATCATTAAGAACCGTCCCGATATAAAATCAAAATCTTTAAAATGCAAGTTCACTGTATATCCATTAAATTCTCCTATACTTAACTTTATTCTGAAAAAATTGATCTGTTCTTTCTAGATTCATACCCCCAAAATAATTGTACCTACAAAATTTCCATAAATCCCACTCCCTCCCCCCCCCCCCAAAAAAAAAAAAAAACATTATTCCAAGATAAAAGACAATTTGCATAAAGCAAGAAAAAAGTACCTATATCACAATTTCAAAGGCATAAGATACACATCCTCTCATAGGTCAAGTTCAATAACATTAGGCTGCCCAGTCTACATATTATCATCAGAGTTTTCCCTAAGTGAGTTGTCCACACTAAGGTTTAAACATTTAGTTAAGCATAACAGTTTCAAAAGTATGTGGCTAAAAGAGAAAATTCACACATGGGGAGATTTCAATGACTATAAAGACTTAGACAAGATAATTTTGAACTTAAAGAGTACCCCAAAGTCTCAAACACACGTTAACTATAATTCAGATAACATAAAAGACCCCAACTCACCCAACAGATTAGCCAACCCAATTTATTCTCTCTTTAAGATATTGCATACAAATGACATTCTTTATAAAAAAAAATATCAGTCTCTTAACAAAAGGATGTCAGAAATAAGGGCAAAACAAAAAGTAGAAAGGGGGTAAAAGCACACAAAATATATCTGCTACAATGCTTCCTTCCCAAGGAACCAAACAGTTATCGACTTCACATTAAACATACCTTTTCAAACTCGTCAAGATTGAAAGGCACAAGCTTCTTAAGGGCTTCAGCGGATGCTTGCACATCAGCTTCGTCATCCTCGGTAGCATCTGATTTTGCTTCAGCATTGTTCGCCCACTCGTCCTCATTTTCATCCTCGCCTTCTGACCCGGAAGTGCACTCTTCACTGGATACTGCATGTTCATCATCTGATTCATTTTCGGACACACCATCATCCCCAAAATCCTGCACCGTGACACCATCATTAACAACAGAGTCCAGTGTTTACTCTATTTTGAACACTTATATTGCCGACAACAAATCATTAGTTAGCTGAAAAACTTACATAAGGAGCAAGAACGCTGCTGTCAAGCACCAATAGTGGAACTTTTAAATCACGAGCAAGCGCTCTAACCAATCTCTCTCGATACAGTTCCGTGCCTAGAAATCATGAAAGAAGATCACATCAACCAGAGATACTTTTTCTATGCAATGCAGTTTTTGCCAAAAGGTTGTAAAGCAGTCAATTAGAAACCTGGAACACTTTGTAGTAATATTCTCCCACTTGAAGACGGTAAACGAGAACCATATGCCGAAGTGAACTTCTTGTTGTTTAAGTGGGATGAAGCGCAGTCCACCAAGAGGCTTTTCGTATGTTCACTGACAAAAACATAGCTCTAATGAACATGGTATCAAGATAATATGTGCTAAAATTAATACAAAGTACAACGGTAGAAGATATTTACTGGACATAATAGGGAAATGTTTCCCAGGAAACAGTGATTTTCTCCCACGGGACAATCCTCCGCATGAATTCATTCTTAAACTTTTCCTGCCTGCTAAGAAAGGGGGACTCTTTCTTTTTATTCTCGATCGCTAGCTTCTCGTTACTCAGCCATTCCTTCTGATCTTGCTCCCCTAACCGAGCATGCTGATCGAATTGCTGGACAGCCTCCTTTACTTCTGTCCGCGGGGCACCATTCTTGTCAAAGTCCACCCCATCTTTCACAGATATATGCTCCTCATCTCTAGCATTCCCTCTACCCCCTTCCGAACTGTAAAATCGCAAATGACCACCCCGCCAAGGCGTATGTAACCTCCCATTCAATGGCAAAGAATTTCCTACAGCACCGATCGCCCGGCTACATTCTAACATATGTTGCCTCACATAATTACCCCGGACATAAGCATCCCCAGCAATAGAACCTCGAAAACTGGAGCATTCACCAGAGTACAATCTAATTGAGTACTTTAATGACTGACATAAATACTCCCACCTCTGATTTCTACATTTAAATCTTCTTGCAAGCATTGCAACTTCGTTAATTTACCACAAAATTCCTATAAATTCATCAAAATTAAACATATCCTTCAATTCATCAATAAAATAACAGCAAAGATTAAGTATTTCACGTTAATAATGCATCAAAATTAAAAAATAAAAAATAAACAATAACAAATTAAATCATTTTAATCAAAATCCAGCTGAAATCTGGTGAATTCTGCCCCAATGCATTGCAAAATCTGAAAATGTATAAATTAATAGCAGACACAAATTAAGAAAAGGCGCAATTACCTTAAAGAACCGATTTTGTTACTGCTAGAAACGAATCAAATAAAATTAAAATCAATAATTTAGGGTTTTGGATGAATTGGAGAAGAATTGAGGATTGAAATTGTAGAGAAATTAGGGCTCGTAGATAATAAAATGGCGTTAGAACTCGAACGTTCTGTTGGCATGCTCCTCAGCACGTGACTAAAGTATTGGGCTTTGAAATTGCACCGGTCACCTCGACCGTAATCCTTAGTGTCGCTGAATCGTACAATTGGGCTGGTATGCGGTTATTAAGCAAAAGGTATCCGGGTGATTTAATTACGACAACCTTCCTCCGTTTTGTAAAACAGCTCGTCTTGTGTGCAGTTGGCTACATTATGTGACCACTTATAATATAACAAAGTAACCCTTGGAACATTGACTGAGTAAGCCCTATAATACTGACTAAGTAACCCCTATAACACTGACCGAGTAACCACTATAACACTGACCAAGTAACCCCTATAACACTGAGTCACTGACCAAGTAACCCCCATAACACTACCGAAGTAACCCCCATGGTGGCTGACCACACCGTGTGGCCAGCCACATATAAAAATTTATGCCCTATTTAGATCGATATATTTATCAAGTGAAATTTTGACTGATGATATTTTTAATTTTAAATATATGAATTATGAAAATTTGATAATCGAAAACTATATATTGACATTACTCTAATATGTCATCATAAGATTATATTTAATATTATGTATGAACATTGGTTAAAGTGATATACTATATATAAATCTGCAAAAATGTTATCTATGAAATAATATCTAAAAGTCCCTAGGGTAGGGTGCGTAGTCCTTGGTTCTAGGGTTTGTGGTTCTTCCTGTTTCGTAACTCGATTGTTATCTTCTATGCTTGCTTTCACGCTATTTTTTCCTGTGAGTGTGTCGATTTGCAATAGAATCTGATCTTATCAAAGAATGGGAGAAGTTTAAACTCACTGATATGTCCATTTTTATATAGTGATTTGCCTCCGTCCCTGTCATATTTAGGAGTATTTTTGGCTCTACGGAGCTATTTTTATTACTAATATGCGTTTTCTAGTGTTTTCGTAGCTTTGGTATTGTTTTATAGGAAATTGCAGATTTGGAGCATTTTCCCAGACTTATTTGAGCCACTACGAGCATTGGATTAGGATCACGTACATATGACCACAATCCGTAGCCCAAGACCGCGTTGGAGTAATCAAACCGGTGATTAAGGGCTCGGCGGAGAAGAAAAGACAGAGGCAATGGACCGAGTCTTAAAGCCCCAAAGAGGAAATCCGGATTGGGCCAATTAAGAGCCCAATCGAAGAAGTCCATGGAGCCCGGTTGCTCGCCCGACTGGGGAGTGCCCTCGCCCTGAGGCGCGCCCAGCCGGGCGAGGCCGAAAGGAAGAAGTGCCCTCCACCCGGATGCGCCCCCAACCGGGAGCGAGGAGAGGAGTTCCCCTGCCGAAGGCGGGCCTGGCCGGGCGAGATGGCGCCCGACCGGGCGTGTGTCATTGAGGAGCGATTACTCGATTAGTGACGATTTTTACTTTGCTTTAATTTAGGATTTCTTAGCTTAGTATAAATACGCTTTTGTTAAGCGAGACAATTACGTCATTCATTAGTTAATTTCCAGATTTAAATTTTGAGCTTTTGATTAGTACTCTTGTTCTCTCAACTCTTTTGGTTTATGCAATTCAACATTTCCGTTTATTCTGGTAACGATTTCTTTTCCTTTTATTTTCAGTAATTTAATTGCTCTGTTTAAACTATGTCTTGTTTTATTGCTTTGCTTAGTTTAGATTTCAATATGTGTGAGTAGTTTATTTCTAGGGTTTGTGGGGATCCGTAAATAATATGAAGGGGTAATTTATTATGGTTGATGTCAATGCTTAATTGATTTCTATTGATTGATTTACTGCTATACAATTAGATTAGGCCTGATTTAATTGTATGAGTTATGCAATATTGATTCGAGATTCGACAGATGAGAATTGATGTTTAGGCTTAGTTTCAATAGGCGGGTTAATTTATAAATGGTTAAGACAAGATTTGAGAGATGCGATTTAATGCCGCTAAATTAATTCTGTAATTGTAATACGTAGCGAAAGCCCTTTATGATCTAATTGATTGATGCATTGATGATTGATTATTGTGTTTTACCTTGAAATATTATTTATTGGTGAACCTATACCCTAGGCTTTAATTTGATTTATTGATATCTCCTTAATTTTATTTGATTTAGTTTATTTATTCTCCTTAGTTTAATTCTCACAAAAATAACTTGGTTACTTGATAGTTTAGATTATATTAATTATTTAGGAATATAAAGACATTGTTTCCCTATGGATTCGACCCTACTTCCCTATCTGCTTTAGTAAGAGGACTTAGGTAATTCTTTTGATTAGGTGATACGACTAGAACCTGTCACTCACTGATGAAGAGAAAACGATAATTGAGATAGATGGGGAAACAAACAATGATGAAGAATCGAAGGACAACTTAAGCTTGCCCTTGTTGGGAAGTTGTAGACAGTTAAGACTTTTAATGTGGAAGCAATGAAAACAACCTTAACGTCAATTTGGAGATTGAACGATAACATTGCTATTAGGATGGTTGATACTAACCTATTTGTGTTTCAATTCTTTACCGAGGTTGATAAGGCAAGGATATTAGACGGGTGCCCGTGGTTTTTTTGACGGTAAATTGCTATTGCTGAGGGAGATTGGGGGTGGCGAACAACCGTCAGAGGTCGAATTCCATAACTCTCCAATGTGTATTCGGTTAATGGATCTCCCATTCAACAAACGAAACCCCTCGGTTTTGTATGATATTGGTGAATCGCTAGGGGGGTTCCTAAAACTTGATGATTCGGATCCTCTCGGGTGGAGTGAATTCTTGCGCATAAAGATCATGGTGGATGTGCGAAAGCCTTTGAGAAAGGGGGTCTTCATAGCGACGGGTGAGTCGAGATCGAAATGGATCGGTATTAAATACGAGCGACTTGCTGACTTTTGCTTCTACTGTGGTCGCCTTGCTCATACAGATAAAGAATGCTAGGATAAGGAAGCGGAGGGAGAGAGTGTGGATGTCGTAGTTTACCAATATGGGACATGGTTACGTGCGTCGCCAATGAAGCCACTCCAGAAAACTTTTGCAATTAAGCAAGCAAGCCAACTGATTTTTCCTGAGCAAAGCAGGCCAGCTACTATCAAGCTTGGTCCAATTGGGGCTGCTGGAAGCTACACTTTGCTTCCTTAAATGAATCAGAAGATGATGCCCATCCGAAGAAAAGAGAGGATGCTCTTGCAATGGTTCTAGACGCGAGCAGTAATAAGCTTGTGCTACGACCAAAGAGTCTTACCGTGCCGAAGGAGGTGGAGTTAATTTTGAACTGAGAAGATGGTGAGGTAAGGGGGACTGATGTTGTGTCCCTTCTTGGAGATGAGGAGAGTGTAAGGGAGGGTAATGATGGGAGTGGTAGTAGAGTTGCTGAAGGGGGGAATAGGAAGTTAGCTCCAGTAGTTAGTGGTGAGGGGAAGGAATATGCTGGTATAGGGGGGGGAATTATGGGGGGGATGGAGAGTAGAAAGGAGGGGGCAAAGAATCAATTTGTTACGGGGATTGAGGGTGCTTTGAGAGGGTAAAAAAAAATGGAAGAGAGTAGAAAGAATGGAGGAAGAGTAACTTGGGAATTGAATGGGGCATGTTGGTGTGGGTGGGGAAAAAGGGAGAAATTAAATAAAAAGAGAGATGCCTCGCAAAGTGTTGGAGAAAACGAGGAGTGGGGGTTGATTGAGTCGGAGAAAGGGAGGAAAAGGGATACTATTGTTTTGTCTGGTGACAGCTTAAATCAAGTAGAGGGTTTTGGTACAAACCAAACCCTCGAACAACAATGAAAAGTTTAAGCTGGAACGTCCAAGGGATTGACAACCCTTGGACGGAGCGGACTTTCCGCAACATTTGCTGGAGAGAGAGGCCAAATGTGGTGTTCTTGATGGAGACTATGATAGATGAAGGTGCATTGACAGGCTAAAGTTGTATCACCTAATCAAAAGTAATTCCTAAGTCCTCTAACTAAAGTAGATAGGGAAGTAGGGTCGAATCCACAGGGAAACAATGTTTTACTCCTAATTAATCTAAATTATCAGGTAACCAAATTGTATTTGTATGAATTGAATTAATAATAAAACTAAGCAAATTAAACAAAGGGAATAATCAATAATAAAAAGCTCTAGGGTATAGGTTCACCAATAAATAATACTCCAGGGTACAATATACGATCAATTATCAATGCATAAATTAACCAGATTATAAAGGGTTGTCGCTACGTATTATAATCACATAATTAATCTATTGGTATTAAATCTCATCTCTTGAATCTCGACCTAACCATTAATAGATTAACATGCCTATTAAAACTAAGCCTAAACATCAATTCTCATCTCTCGAATCGCGAATCAATATTGCAAAACTCATACATTTAAACCTGCGCAAATCTAATTGCATAACATTAAATCAATCAATAGGAAATTAATCAATCATCAATAATCAATAATAATAAATTACCCCTTCGTATTATTCATAGATCCCCACAAACCCTAGAAATAAAATTACTCGCACATATTTAAATCTAAACTAAGCAAGGCAATTAAAGAAAACATAATCAAAAGTAAAAATTAAAATAAGAAGAATAATAGTATTGAAATAAACTAATGAATCTTAATATATATGAAAAGAAAACTAAACTAAATTAAAAAGGGAAGGAAACTAATACTACCCCCTAACCCCCCCCCCCCCCCCCCCTCGTAACAACTACTACTACATATATATATATATAAGAAAGCCCAAAAGATAAACTTTGAGAAACAAAATCTATCCCCTGGTTCCTACGTACTCCATCCTTTTATATGAAGGAAAAAGAGTTTCACTAAAACTAGGACTAGATACTACTCCATGAATTGGGTACAATCCACCCAAACCAACAAAGACAAACAAATCAGCAATCAGTCCATAGCAGCAGGTCCAATATTGTACCAAGCTCAATAGCTAAAGCGGCCTGTGCTGAAATCCGCCCAGACCGAGCCACGCCTCACCCAATCGGGCCCGGTCAGCTGAAGCTACGAGCTGGGCTTCAATGCTCCATTTCCTTTTTGTTCTTGGACTTGGTCTTTTAGAGTTTATTAGTCCAAGTTTCTTCACTTGTTTAGTCCGTATTTCGTGTGGGGATTTTGGACTT